AAGTTATGTCAAGTCATCAGTTATGCTATAGATTACGTGACCTGTCAATATATGATTTACTGCCTTTGTTTTGCTCTTGTATGCTAGCCTTTATAAGCCAAACTCTGTTTTTGTTCAACCCTCAGCTTTTTGAATGGGGATCCACTGAACCAGTGTGTACCTTAATATAAACATCCTCCTGTTTTCCCATATCGGTCTCTCTGGTCCTCAGTTTCCCACAGCAGAAATACCGGGTGCTGAAGGCTTTTTGGCTTCCTGCTCCCTCCCTGTTTACCCCTTTTATCGCCCTGCTTCCCAACCGCCCCCTAACTCTGCTCCCCTTTTTCTGCAGGCCTGCGCCCCCGCCGCAGCCCGGGACCTCCTCATGGGTGTCCACAATTGCAGCACCACTAGGTAGCAGCATCCCACCTCTTCCCCCTCGCCGCCGCCGCTGCAGCAGGAGCCTGGCTCGCTGCGCCGGGAGCGGCGGGCCCGGCCGGACCCCAGAGACGCAGGGGCGGGCTCCCTGCAGTCCTGGGAGGTTCTTGCTCCCGGGACCCCCAGGCAATTCAATTCACTCATCCGGCGCCGCCTCTACAGTCCAAGCTGGGGGAAGGGGCGGGCAGGGGCAGCGGGTCCCACAGATGCCAGCCAAGACCTCCGCTCCAGAATGCTGCTTTTCCCGGCGAAAGGACATTACCTTCGCCAGTCAGCAGGAAAACCGTAACTGTACACCTGGAATCCCATTGCCAACAACTTCGTGTAAACTCCAGTCCCAAGGACACGAGAGAGACCCAGGCCTCAGGCCCCATGGGCACTCTCAGCGTCAGGGCTCTCGCCAGACGGACAGGGAGAGTCTACAAATCTCGGGGCCCACTGCAACAAGTGGACAGGAAGGAGCAAACAAAGGAAAAACCCTATGAAACGCACCTCCAACGCAACCAACCAATCCAAGAAAAAACACTTCTCAGGGCTCCATTGGCCCACCCTGGTGGGCGGCCCTGCCACCCTGTTCTGGCCCAGCTCAAGCACCCTCCACCCTACCCCGGCCTGCTCAAAGGGGCCCTGTCTACCAGAGCAGAGCCCTCCCTCTCTAGGTTCCTCACCCTCTCTCTTTCTCTTCTTCCTCTCTCTCTCTCTCTCTCCCCCCTCCCTCACCCTGTCTCTCTCTCTATGGCTTGAAGAGCGCTTTCTCTCCAAGGCTCTATCGCTTTTACTCTCTAGCTCCCTCACCCTCTTTCTTTCTCTTCTTCCCCCTCCACCTCTCCATCTCTCTCTCTCTCTCTCTCTCTCTCTCTCTCTCTCTCTCTCTCTCCCCCCTCCCCCATGTCTCTCTATCGCTGTCTCTCTCTCCTTCCGTTTCTATCTCTCCATCCCTCTCGCTCTTGCTCTCCTTCAAGCTGTGTGTGTGTGGCCGCGCGCGTGCTCCCCTGTGTGAATGGGTGGTTTTGCTCATGGTGGTCGTGAGTTGTGTCTGGGTGTCCCTCAGCCGCTCTCTCCCAGGATCAGGCTGCCGGCTTTGGTGCCAGCGCGGGGCAAAGCAGAACCCACCTGGCCCCCTTGTTGCCCACAGGCTGGGTCCCCGTCGGGACAGGGGACGGGGGTGAAGGCGTTGTGAGAAAGAGCGCCCGTAGGACTGGGTTGGCTGATTGCCCTTGGGCAGCCCTGGAGGTGTGGGTGGGTGGGGCAAGAGGGGGCCTTGCAGGAGGGACCGCGAGGGATCCAAAACAATCCCTCAGTGCTAAGGCCCTGGGCCCTGACGCCTCGGAGCACACCCCGTCCTGAGCCGGCCGGATGTGGTGGAAGCTCCGGAGCTAGGGAGCTGGGGGAAGGCCTGGAGCTTCGGCTGAAGGGAGGCCACCTCCAGAGCCCGAAGCCTGTGCAGGAGACAGAGGCCTCTGGCGCCCCCGCCCGGCAGCAGGGCGGCGCTGTGGCGGTCCCGCGCTTGGCCTGGCCACCAGCAACTGCGGGAGGCTCTTGGAGGCCAGCTGAAGGCGCAACACTGCGACAGACCATGCTCCGGCGTAGAAGGGGAGAGCAGCCGGTAGAGGGGGACAGCAGACTAGCCCGGCCGCTGGCGAGCAGCTCAGGAATACTTGATCCGAGCCCTGTGGATCCGGGGTTGCCAGGATGTGTAGAGTCCGGCGCGCAAGACTGAGCGGAGCTCTTGGGGCTGCCAGGCGTCTATGGCCATACCACCCTGAACGCACCCGATCTCGTCTTATCTCTGGAAGCTAAGTAGGGTCAGGCCTGGTTAGTACTTAACTGGGAGACCGCCTGGAAATACCGGGTGCTGTAGGCTTTTTTGGCTTCCCGCTCCCTCCCTCTTTCCCCCTTTTATCCCGTTGCTTCCCAACCACCCCCTGACTCTGCTCCTCCTTTTCCACTCGCCTGCGCCACCGCGATACCCCGGGACCTCCTCATGAGGCATCCGCCACTGCAGCACCGCCGGTTAGCAGCTTCCCACCCCTTCTGCCTGTCAGCCACCCCATCAGTAGCCCAGTTCGCTGCGCGGGGCGGGGCGGACCGGGGCCAACCTCGAAGGCGCAGTGGCTGGGTTCCCTGCCGTCCCAGGTGTCTTCCCTCTCCCGGGAAGCCCAGGGAATTCAATTCATTCATCTGGCGCCGCTGTCACCGTCCAAGCCGGGGGAAGGAGCGGGGAAGAGGGCCCCACAAGACACCAGACAAGACCTCCGCTCCAGAACGCATGGGCTGCTTTCCCCAGGGGAAGGACATTGCCTTCGCCAGCCACCAGGAAAACCGTCCCTGTGCACTCGGAATCCCTTTGCCACCAACTTCTATAAACTCCAGTCCCAAGGACAGGAGACAGACCCAGGCCTCGGCCCGGTGGGCATGCTTGGCGCCACAGCTCTTGCCAGAGGGACGGGTGCACTCGACAAATCTCGGGGCCCACCGCCCCAAGAGGACAGGGAGGAACCAACAAAGGAAAAACCCTACGAAACGGACCATCAAAGCAACCAATCCAACAAAAAACACGTCTCACGGCTCCTTTGGGTCACTCCGTTAGCCCTTCCACCCTGTTCTGGCCCAGCCCAAGCCCCCTCCACCCTACCCCGGCCTGCTTAAAGGGGCCCTGTCTACCGGAGCAGAACGCTCCCTCTCCAAGGCTCTAGGGCTCTCTAGGTCCCTCACCCTCTCTCTTCTTCTTCCCCCTCCACCTCGTGCTCTTTCTGTCGCCTGCTCTCTCGCGCGCTCTCTCTCTCTCTCTCTCTCCCTCTCTCCTGACTCACTGTCTCTCTATCACTGTCTCTCTCTCTCCCTCCGTTTCTATGTCTCCATCCCTCTCTCTTGCTCTCATTCAAGCTGTGTGTGTCTGTGTCTTTGTGTGTCTGTGTGTAGGTGTCTGTTTGCAAGACGGGCTGCGAGGGATCCAAAACAATCCCTCAGCGCTAAGGTGGAGGATCGGAGGGCCTGGGCACTGACGCCCTGTCCTGAGCGGCCAGATGTGGTGGAAGCTCGGGAGCTCGGGAGGCAGGGGAAGGCCTGCAGCGTTGGCGGAAGGGAGGCCGCCCGGAGAGTCCGAAGCCTGGGCAGGGGACAGAGGCCTCTGACGCCCCCGTTGGGCAGCAGGGCGGCGCCCTGGTGTTCGCGGGACTTGGCTGCCAGCTACTGCCGGAGGCTCTAGGAGGCCGACGGAAGGCGCAGCGAGGCGGCCCGGGGTGCTCAGGTGTAGTGGGGGAGAGCAGCCCATCCCGGGTGCGGGCGAGCGGCTCCGGGGTCCGCCATCCGAGCCCCGCGCCCCCGGGGTGGCGGGGACGCCTGGAGTCTGGTAGGCGTGATTGGACCCAGTTCTTGGGGCGGCCAGGCGCCACTGTCAGGGTCTACGTCCATACCAACCTGAACGCGCCCCATCTCCTCTGATCTAGTGAAGCTAAGCAGGGTCGGCTGGGTGAGTACTTGGATGGGATTCCGCCCGGGAATACCGAGTGCTGAAGGGATTTTGTCTGCTTGCTTCCTAACCGCCCTCTGACTCTTCCTAACCTTCCCCTTTTATCTGCTTGCTTCCTAACCGCCCTCTGTGCTCCCCCCTTTTCCGCCCTGCTGCGCCCCCGCAGCAGCCCGGGACCTAGGGGTCCCCCACTGCACCACCGCCAGGTAGCAGCATCCCACCTCTCCCGCCTCGCCGCAGCCCCAGCAGGAGCCCGGGTTGTGGCTGGCCGGGGCCCGACCCTGAAGGCGTAGAGGCGGGTTCCCTGCTGTCCTGGGTGTCTTCCTGCTCCCGGGAGGCGCAAGCACTTCAATTCAATCATGCGGCGCCGCCGCCACCGTCCAAGCCCAGGGAAGGGGCCGGCAGGGGTAGCGGGCCCCGCAGACGCCAGCCAAGACCCCCGCTCCAGAACGCATGGGCTGCTTCCCCCTCGGGGAAGGTCATTGCCTTCATTAGCCACCAAAACAACCGTCCCTGTGCACCCAGAATCCCATTGCCACCAACTTCGTGTAAACTCTAGTCCCGAGGACACGAGAGAGACGCAGGCCTCCGGCTCCCTGGGCACGCTCGTCGCCTCCGCTCTAGCTAGATGGATGCGCGCACTCTACAAATCTCGGGGCCCACCGCACCAAGAGGACAGGGAGGAGCCAACAAAGGAAAAACCCTAAGAAACGCACCCCCAAATCAACCAAACAATCCAAGAAAAAACACGTTTCAGGGCTCCCTTGGTTCACCCGCGTGGGCGGCCTGCCACCCTGTTCTGGCCCAGCCCAAGCACCCTCCACCCTACCCAGGCCTGCTCAATGGGGCCCTGTCTACCAGAGCAGAGGACTCCCTCTCTAAGGTTGTATGGCTCTCGCTCTCTATCTCCCTCACCCTTTCTCTTCTTTCCCCTCCACCATGCACCCTTTCTTTCGCGTTCTCTCTCTCTCTCTCCCCTCCGTCACTCTGTCTCTCTCTCTCTATCGCTGTCTCTCTCTTCCTCCCTTTTTCTCTCCATCCCTTTCTCTCTTGCTCTCCCTCAAGCTATCTGTCTCTTTCTCTGTGTGTGTGTGTATGTGTGTACCTGCGCGAGTGCGCCAGTGTGTGTCTGTGTGGGGAGGGCCGGGGTGGGGAGGGGGTTGGTTTTGCTCGTGGTGGTCGTGAGATGTGTCTGGGTGTGCTTCAGCCCCTCTCTCCCGGGATCCAGGATGTGTGTGCTGGGGGGAAGCAGTGGAAAGGGTGTTGAAGGAAGGTGACAATCAGCTTCGTGGAGGGCACTGACAGGCCATTATTCCTGTGGCTTGGCAAGTTTTCTGTTTGAACTTATTTCTTGTTAAGGGTCCAAGTGTACCGACTATGGGAATAAGAAAAGAAGAATAGCTCTGAACAGCTGAAGCTCTGTGAGGTACAAAAGATTTTTCTGGCCCAGAGAGACTTGAGTATGGGATTTGAGACACACCTCCACACCCTTTCCCAGAGGCAATTGTTTAAAGGTATGTTGTTCCTAAGGAGCTGCCTCATCTGGAATTTGTGATACAAAGAACAATGTATAGCCAGTCAGTGGCTTATGGATTTTAATGTAAATTTTTGATGAAAATTTTAGGAACTGCGTCTTTTCTCAAAATCCACTTGTAATGGCTACTAATTGGAGTGTATATTCAGGGCAACTTTATGCTCTCAGGTAGGTATCCTGAACATGTGCCCTTGAATATGCTTTTGAAAATAGATTCTGACTTTTTTATTATGATGGGTTGACAGGGGACTGGCCTGGGACACCTGCCTGGATGTAAATACCCCAACCATTAGCTGCCCTGCCCAGCAGAGGAGGCGGGTGGACAGCAGGTCCCCTTTGGTCAGAAACACATGCATTGCGTAGTTGTTCTACAGCTGGGTCCTGCTTGCTAGGACAGTCCCACAGGCGCACCGGAATGCACAGGCAGCCTCCCCTTTCCACCCGCCAGCATTCCCAAGCACGCCTCGGCTTCTGACTGGTCTGTGCTTTGGGAGGAAAACTCATCTTCAGGTTTCTCTCCAACAGAAGATGATGATGATGCTGTTCAGACACTCAGGAAAAAAGATTGCAGATTGGCTTAAGAGTGCGCCCTTTATTAAAGATGGTATACATGTAAAGACATGGAACAATTTTGGAAGGATACAAAAAAAATTGCCCATTTTATTAATAGTCTCATTCAACCCCTTTGCTGACCTCATCTCCTGTCACTCATAACCAAAGGAGGAGGGTCCTGGAGCCCTGTCCAATCAGGGACATTGACGTGGGAATTGTCCAATCAGGAGCGCAGCTTGAGAGGCAGAGGCGGTTTCCGGGATCTGGCGGGGCCTTTGTCTTGCGCTCCAGTTGGAGCTTCGGTCGCGTCTTCTCCGCTATTTATCCTCACCTGCGGGAGGCCCTGGTGACTCTGCTGCTGCAGTGTCTGGTTTCCCTGTGACCTGCAGGTGCTGGGAGTTACGTAGCTAAGATGCCAGGACACACCGAAATCCGGAAAACGGTGAGAGTTCCCTGGAGGGTGTTCCAAGATGGCGGCCCGGCCTCCCCGCATCAGCTGCGGAGTCCGCGGCCCGGAGTCTCTGCTGGCACCTGTGGGATCTGTCACCTCTGGGTAGGGGCGGGGCCGGGCCGCCGCGTGATTCTCCTCCCATCGCTGCGCCGCGGCTTCCGCCCGGGCCTCCGCCCCGGCCTCTCTGGGCAGCTATGAAGCTGCCACCCCGCCAGTCCCCCAAACTGTGTGCTTGGTCCGGAGGGGAGGGTCATCGGGGAGAAGCCCAACTCGGTGTGCGAAACATGCGTGGGAAGAGCTGTTCCATAGGGCTCATCTTAGCTGTGCAGTCCATCCTTTTTCCTGTGAAAAATAAAGGGAGTCACTCTTAAAGCTTTGAAGAGTTTGTTTGAGCAAAGGGAGTTTCTGGAATGGGAGAGCACCCATCTATGGTGTGTGGCTTGTGGGTTTATGGAGGAGGTGCTTGAAGGAAAGGCTTTTGTAGGGTGCATGAGGAAGCAAGCCAAATTTAATAATTGACTGGCGACAGTTACAGTCACTTTATTTGGACTGTACACGTGGAAATTTCCTGGTTATTTAATTAGAGATTAATTGGAGTTTTGCGATTGGTTGAACCTGGATTTTGTTTCCACTTAAGGTAGTCATTAACAAGAAATGCATTTGAGCTACTAGTATTTTTCATGTCGAAACGCAAGACACTAGAGCCACATCTGTCTAATTGCCTGCTAATTATTTTAACACTGCACAAGAGACTGGTTTTCCCCTGCATTTTCCAAATACATGGAAAGCAGAGTCTCAAATCTCCTCCCCTGCTCCCCCAGCCTAACTCTGGCCTGCAATAAAATACTAAATTTTCAGTCTCTTTCCAAAATTCACAAAAACCACCGTCACCTCTTCAATTCACAACATTGTCAGCTATTTGTCTTTTATTGCATACTCCAGGCACAATATTTTAATTAATCATTTTTTCACAGAACATTGGAGGGCACTCTTTGTTGTTGCTATTGTTGTTTTGTTTTTGTTTTTTCTTTAAGAAGGAGTCTCGCTCTGTAGCCCAGGCTGGAGTGCAGTGGCGCGATCTTGGCTCACTGCAACCTCTGCTTACCGGGTTCAGGCGATTCTCCTGCCTCAGCCTCCTGAGTAGCTGGGATTACAGACGCGTGCCACCACCCTGAGCTAATTTTTGTATTTTTAGTATTTTGTGTTTTAGTTTCATCGTGTTGGTCAGGCAGGTCTCCAACTCCTGACCTTGTGATCCCCCCGCCTTGATCTCCCAAAGTGCTGAGATTACATGCGTGAGCCACGGCGCTTGGCCTGTTGTTGTTTTTTTTCCTGCCCGGCTTTTTTTTTTTTGGTTGAGTTGGAGTCTCGCTTTGTTGACAGGCTGGAGTGCAGTGGCATAATCTCGGCTCATTGCAACCTCTGCCTCCTGGGTTCAAGCGATTCTCCTGCCTCAGCCTCCTGAGTAGCTGGGACTACAGGTGTGCGCTACCACACCTGGCTAATTTTTGTATTTTTAGTAGAGATGGGGTTTCACATGTTGGCCAGGATTGTCTAGATCTCTTGACCTCGTGATCTGCCCGCTTGCCCTCCCAAAGTGCTGGGATTACAGGCATGAGCCACCACGCCTGGCTTGTTGTTGTTTTTAAGAGGATCTTGCTCTGTCATCCAGGCTGCTGGAATGCAGTGACATTGTCATAGCTTACTGCAGCCTCCAACTCCTGGGCTCAGGTGATTTTTCTGCCTCAGCCTCCTGAGTGGCTAGGATTAAATGTGTGTGCTGCCATGCCCGGCTAATTCTTTTTATTTTATTTTTTTGCAGAGATTGGGTTTCACTAGTTACCCATGCTTGTGGCACTCTTTAAAGATTTGTTTTCTGTTTGTAAAAGCAGAGAAGAACCCCCTGGCACTCTATTGTAAAGAAATATTTGTGGCACTCTGCTTTTATCTTTCCTAGGCACAGATGCCTTGTACAATATCTTTGAGTTGAGGTTCCACTTTGGAAACTTTACAGCTTGTTGTATCCTCAGCCACTCTTTTTTATTTATTTTTATTTATTTATTTATTTTGAGACAGAGTCTCTCTCTGTCGCCCAGGTTGGAGTGCAGTGGTGCACTCTCAGCTCACTGGAAGCTCAGCCTCCCGTGTTCATGCCATTCTCCTGCCTCAGCCTCCCGAGTAGCTGGGACTACAGGTGCCCGCCACCATGCCCGGCTAATTTTTTGTATTTTTAGTAGAGACAGGGTTTCACCACGTTAGCCAGGATGGTCTTGATCTGACCTCGCGATCCGCCCGCCTTGGCCTTCTGAAGTGCTGGGCTTACAGGCGTAGCCACCGCGCCTGGCCGGTCAGCCACTCTTATCCTAGTCCTGAGTTTCAGAATTGTCTGGGAATGACCCAAGATGCCCACAGTGGCTATGTCTCTTGGAGTATCTAGTGAATTTTGGTTGCTGGGTTTTTTTTCTTACCAGAGGACAGCCTATGGCATGGGGATGGAACCTCTCAGTGGAGCTGCTGGATGTCCTGGGGCTGAGAGAAGTCTTCTGGTACACCCTTCATCTAAAAAGCTAATCTCTTAGACATTCTCTCCCAACCCCCAATTTCATTGTCTGGAGACATGTCAGTGGAGTTGGGAAAAGACAGAAATAATTTCTGCCCTCTGTATTCTCAGACTTGTGAAGGGAGAAAAACTAGTCCAAAGGACAAGCAAAACCTACTCCAGTGAGCTGGTGCGAGAACATGCAAAGCAAAACATCCCTGGAGCACACAGTGAGGCACAGTGCAGTGTCTCCAGACAGGGTGGTCAGTGACCACTTCAGTGAGTAGAATGGGGGTGGGAGAATGTCCCAGGTTATAGGATAGCCTGATCTGACACTTGAGTCGGATGTGTCTGTGTTCCAGGTAGCACTGTTACTCCCTGAATTTGTCACCTTAAAAAGATTTGTTCACTTATTTCATCATCAGTTTTTTATTAAGTATATATTACACTTTATCAGTAGAGCTTGAAAGGTTAGAAAATATTTACAAAGGGCATGAAAGTGGTGAATTCTAGGAAGAAAATATGTAGTCATATATTTCATTTGTTAAAAAAACTCGTTTATCTTTTTCTTCATCAGAGTGAGTGTAGTAGTTTCTCAGTTCTGTTCTATTTTAAGGGTGATTTCAAACAGAATCTCAGGGCTTAAGTTTGGGAATTCTACCAGGGGAAAAAATAGGAAACATCTCTTTTTCAGTATGCCTATAGGAAATTCAATTTCACAAGACAGTATGGTAGATTAATTGGTAAATTATATAGATTCATGAAACATCAGTTCCTCTTTTTTACAGGGTGGATGATTTGTGACATTAAATGTTCTGTATTCAATTATCTGGACATCCAAATTCAATGCTAAGTTTTAGGAGATGGGACATGGCTCCTCTTAGAAGGGCTCACATTTAGTAAGTGTTTCCTAAATGATCTGTTATAGAAATATTTAATTGACATTTTTGTATCTGAAAGGAATAGACACTTTTGCCTTTCCTTTTGAAATGTAAAATGTGTCTTACAATTTTATTCCCTTTTATAAACACTGTCTTTGAGTGATTTTGCTGAATTCTTCAAACACTGGGCATTTTCTCATTTAAAACTAAATGAATAGCCCTGACTGGAAAGTAGAAGTCTGAGCCCAGTGACTCCAAGTTAAGGCCAATCTTGAACCTGCAAAAGAAAGTCATTGAAGGCCCAATTAGTTCTTCCTGAGGAGCCTCCCTTGCAGGTGTCCCAGCCTGCTCACACAAGCATGGCAGAGTCCTTTACATTGAGAGAAGCTACAGAGCCCTGGAAAGTGGGAGATCCATGGGCAGATGCAAATGAGGTTGGGTTGGAAGACGGGTTCAGAAGCTCTTTCTGAGGATAAAATTTCGTCGTCCTGGGCTGTTTCTAGACTTTGTCAAATAAAGCTAATTTAGATTTACATAAAAAGTTACTTAATTTTAAAGGAGTATTGCAACAGGGGAAAAATACCAACTATATCTGCAATCATCTGAAATGTTAGGCAGAAAAGGGCTTTATTTGAAGGGGGAACACACAAGACTAGAAAGAATGTGGAAGCGGGAGGACAGGATGAAAGTTGCCAAAATTAGATCCTAGATCAGAGAATGTTTCACCCTGAGGTCAGCCTGTGTTTAGGAGGGGCATAAAGAGGGGTTATTTGCTGGCTCAGGCTGAGTATGCATCAAAGTTCTGGGGCCTGCTAGAAAGAGAGAAGCTAACCCATTTATGCCTAGTGTTCATTATTGGAGCACTAAGCTCGTGGGAGTTATTTATACTTCCTACTACTAGATGACCCTACTGCTCAGGGTCATCACCATGGTCTGATTTTTCACACAAAAAAATTTGCCACCTCCAGCATAAATGGGTTAAGCAGTGGTTGGTGAACAAGGTTTTTTTTCTTGTTTGTTTTTTGGTTTTTTTACCACTGAAGAGAATTGTTCAGGTGATTGTTTATGAGACAAAAATGGGAATTTGCAATCTGTGTCTGGCTTTGTAATAGGTTAAAAAAAAAAGGGGGGGAGCATCATAAGTCAAAATTAGAAGAGTGTTTCTTTTCATTCACCTATTCTTTGAGAACATGAAGGATGGGGAATTTCTTCAGTCACATCTATTTACCAGGATTGCCTACCCACCCAATCTTCTCCTGCCACTTTCCTTTACTGTATATAGCTCTTCCATTTGGCTGTTTTGAGATGTACTTTTTATAACAAACTGGTACATGTTTTGCTGAGTTCTGTGAGGAGTTCTGTCAAATTATTGAACTTGAGTATGGGGTTATGGGAGTCCCAGACTTACAGGCAATCACTCAATAAGTATAGATGGGTCCCTGGTGCATGTGACTGGCCTCTGTAGTGGGGGCAGTGATGTGGGACTGAGCCCTGGCCTTGTAAGGTCTGTGCAAACTGAATGGTGTTAGAATTGAATTGTTGAGCAACCAGTGGTGTTGGAGAATTGGTTG